TAAAAAAAAAAAAAAAAAAAAAAAGTGGACTACTTACCGATCGGGCCAGCTGACGATGAAGGGGCCGCCCGATCAGATGTATAATAAAGGGAGATGGCTGACGATGCGAAATGCATCGAAGTAGGATAGGAGATGCTCGGGCCAGCTGACGATGAAGAGGCCGCCCGAGCATCCAAAATATGATGACATCAGCAGTCGGGAGACTGCTATTTTTTCGGAACCCCCTGCGCATCACAGATGTGATAAGCTCAGATCCGTACCGCGCGGCTTGCCGTATCCCTGAGGAAAAATCCCCCGGGAGCCCCGAAGTACAGATGCGAACAAAAAGGGGTTTTTCTTTCTTTTTGCTTTTGCTTTCCTTTTTGAAACGGCTTTTTCATTTTTTTTGGCTAAATAACTCCCGCGCGGGCGAATAGCGGCCGCGGTATAAAAACCAAGAAACGGTTTCAAACTTTCGGTGGGGACTTTTTGAATTTTTGCGCGCGCACGCCTAAGCTCCGATTTCTTTGCGCGTCTCGCACCCCCGTTTCTTGCTTTGCATCCCCGTGCCATCTTCCTTTCTTGCTGCACGCGTTTCCCTCAAGCCGGACTCTTTGTCTTCCCCTACGCCCAGCTTGATCCTTACCCCATCTTCCTCCGCGAAGTGATTGGCTGCGTAGTTGGGATGCTCGGATCAATGTGGAGGGCGGGAAACCGTGCACCACTTAAACGAACACCCCAATCACGTAGGACCATGCAACCCCGCGGGTCGAACCCTTTGACTCCCCACCTTTCTTCTGCCCTGCCCATCTACACCCCGCGCTGCCCGCACCTCGCGCTGACAACCCGCCGCCTCCCGCACTATAAATTTGCGCAACCCTCTCCCCTCCCGCTCTTTGATCTCGGCTGCAATGTTGCGCGAGCTATGCGCGAAGTCCGCGACGCCGAACAGGCTCGACGAGCCCAAGGACGGGCGGAGTGACAACGCGGGGTGGACCCGCGTTAGACTCGGGGCGAAGCAGTCGGTGGGACTGAGCAGTGGTGGGGATTGGATGCCGGCCGCGGCAGGGCCTTGTGGCTATGGTGGTCGGTGGTCTTGGGAAGTTTTGAAGGCTGCGCCTGGGGGCGGCAGTTAATTGAGAATTTTTGTATACAAGGACTCGCTTTTATCTCCATTGCTCCTTTGTCTATGCATGACGTGTGTGTGAGGCCCCGAGTGATGGGAGCTGGTTGTGCGCATGAGTGATGTCAAAGGTCTATGGATGATTGGATGTCCAAGCAAGGGTTGTTGATTGCATGCATGTATGTGTGTATGTACTTATCCGGGCGGGGACGGGGGAACTGAACTGGAGGACCGTCTGCTTAGGAGTATGAGTGTGTTGATCCCGTTGTTCCCCTCCCTTCCGCGGCCCTTCCTGCGCGCACGCGCAGTCTCGTGTAACTCTCTCTCTCTCGCCTTTCTTTTTGAACTGGTAATCATCATTTTTTTTAACTTCTCATCCCTGCACCAGTGACGTCAACCGCCGGCGTCCGCGCGCGTGCGGTCGATGCCCCCGCAATGGGAAGAGAGCTTAGATTCCGCCATCTTCTCCCGACGCACCAACTTTGAGAGAGAAGGGTTGCATCGAGTGTTGTATGGAGTCGGTATTGGTTCGGATGACCGGGAGCGCGGTATCTTGCCCGTGTTCATCACTCACCTCCGATCGTCTCATCTCGCTGCCGACCTTCCCCATTGCAGATGACGACAGCGTCTACTGCGATGCGGACGTACGGCGCGCGCTGAGACTGACGGAGCAAGTGTGTTGGCGAGACCCGCCTTGGGCGTGTAATATAAGGGGGAACGGGTTTGTCTTGATTGATCGCTTTGATTCCCCGTCTCTAATATTGCCTTATACGGGTTTGACTTTGTTGCCCTGGTCGGCCGCTCGCGCCGCGTGGCGGCCGCAGTTTGATTGTCGCTGGTGTCGCCAGGGGGACTCGTGTTCTTGGCGACGCTTGGTCCTGGGTTACGAGGGAGCGACACGTTTCCCCGAGCTCTCCCGTAATGCGGGGGCGCTACCTGCGCTATTTCGAATTCGGACGTCGGTGAGTCCTCCCACCGCTTCGCCCTCTCGGAACCTTCCGCGCGCACTTTGCGAGTCCGACGCCGAGGCTTGAAGGCCTCGAACCAACCACCTCTACAGCAAAAACCCGACTGTCCGGTCACGTCATGAGGCCTATGATGAGGCCTGAAGGCTTCAAACCCATCACCTATCCCTCCAACCCATGACAGCCAGAGTTTCTGTCTTCCGCTGCCATGACCCTCTCCCCTTGATGCCTTTTCCCGTCCGGATGCACGACGGCAGTTCGTTTTTGCGGAAATCCTTCTGATTTTATCGCTCCGAAGCGATCCGACCCCCACGGGACTTCGCGACGACAGTTCGACTCCGGGGTAACCTCTGGCACGAAACGAGAGCCTCCCGTTCCGTCTGGGAGACTCAACCCCTACGGCCAAAAATCCTCGGCCACGCCCCTCCTAGAACTCTGATCGGCAACCCAGTACGGGAAGCCGCGAGGGGGCGTGAGGTTGCGCATCACAGGCGCCCCCCCTAAAGACCCGCTCCTAACTCACTGGAATGCCACTTTTTCGGTGGCGGGTAGAGTGGTGTTTTAACGACGTACCTACCCTGCCAGGCACCATAGCTGTGTGAGAGATACGGCGGAAAGTGCCCGAGTGTAACCTTGCCCTTGTGTGGGCTAGGGAGCACCTTTGTGCTCGTATGCCCAGGCATCCTGGCACTGCTGGCAGCCCCACACCTAACCTGTAGACCGTACCAATTTTTTTATTTTATTTATTTATTTATTATTCTTTTTTTTTTTTTTTTACACGAATAGCCCTTATGTAAACCCTCTATCCAGACGGTGGTAAGAGAACTGTCAGGATTGAGGGTTTATCTGTCAGGCTGCTCCATCTATTGGTGGGGAGGGGCACCTGCTGGAAACCGGGTCCAATCGCTCCACCTATTGGTGGAGAGCAGCACCTGCTGGAAAACTTAACTATATACGTCTTGAAGATGGACAGATTCATGGACCAGCATCTGGTCGGCTCCTTGGCTCAATACATTGGTTAATCCTCAGAGGAGCTGGGCGATAGTAATGCAGGCCGAGTTGGTATGGGTAGTGGGAGACGACACAGAGGCCGTGGAAGAAGTTGGAGAGCAAGCAGCTGATGTCGGAGCGCTTGGACACTGGGAGCGGCATCAGCGATGGGAGCCCTTCGGCAGTCCCAGCTAGAGCGCCAGCCCTTGTCAGGGACACGTCCTATGAGAAATTATATCAGAAGACGTGATCATGTTCTCACGGATGTTTGAGGTCCTGTATTCCTGACTTGGTCCTGTCTGTTGGATGGGTTCATTGATTAAACACTAGCCCTTTTTTTCTTTTTTCCCTCGTCCATACTCTGCCTTATTTCTGCCTACTATAGCTTTCCGAATTTTCTCCTGTTATTTTCCTCTTCCATAGGGCCTCGTCGCACTACTTGCCATCCGCCAACATTTTGATTGCATGTTGACATCATTTTGTCCAGATGCATTCGAAATCTTGGCGGAAGTCGAATAGTGCAACCAGGGCCATACTCTCCACGCCACAAATCTTCCTGGCAATTATATCCCCCGTTTTCGTCCTGTCACCTTTACTCCAAATGTCATCGTAAACGGTCCTTCTCTGAGTTCTCTCTGACCCCCTTCTCTCTCTTTTATGTCTACACTCACATCCAACTTCCTTCCAGACACAGGTGATTCTCATCCGATCCTTTTCTCCAACCCCCTCCCTCGCCTCTTCGTCTACATTCCTTCAACCCATTTCTTCTCCCAATCAGCCCCACGTGGAACCGCCTACCTACCCTCCAGTCTCTCATTACTGTACCAACCGTGATCGTCCTGTCAGGGCACAGCGCCCTACTCATCTCCTCCCCTCCCTTTCCCTGTCCATTCTTCGTCCCGGGAGACACGTCACCCACTCCAACCCCAGCACCAGCTACTTCATCCCCTCCTTGAATTCGCCCGTTCATCCGGTCCCAGCTTAGCGCCTTGATCATCCTCCCCCACCTCCCAGTCCGGCATTACTTGACCTATACTTCTTCCAGCGGCATGCTTACTCCCTGTTATTCCTCATCAGGTTTGCTTTTTCTTTTATGATTTGGTTGTTTCTCTTTTCCATCCTTATTCTCTAATAT